GTGCAGCATCATTGTTCTCTGGGCCGTGAATACACGTCAGTAACAAGTCACTGGCAATCTCGTCTGCCCAGGTTTGATATTGCATGTTTGGCCATCCTTAAAACCACAGGGCAGGAAGCCCTCCCTCACTGATGGGTAAATAGGAGGCGATGAAAATACGTCCTTTCTGGCCAGCCCGGTATCGGTTCAGTGAGCTGAATTCCACATGACTGACCACAGTTTGAATCCCTGCCCCAGCAGCTTGAAAAACACGCCTGACATGTGTGAAAGCCCCAAATCCTGACAGGACAGAGAAATGGAGAGAGGAGATTACAGCATGGCCATGCCCTTGGGGGTTGCTTTCTCCCTTTCTCTCTGTCTGTTCCTCTCTGGCGAATGCATGTGCCATTTAGTAATTAAAAACAAAACAAAATAGGGCCTGGTGGTTAAGAAGACTGGATCCCACATGGCAGAATGAGCAGTTCAAGCCCTGGGCCCAGAGTCTTGAGAAACTCGCCAGCACGTGTGCGTGTGTGCATGTGTGTGTGCGAGCCTGAACTCCTGAAAGGAGGGAGAGACGGAGAAGGATTGCAGCATGACCATTCCTCCTCTCTCTGTCTCTCTTTGGTGAGTGCATACACCCTCTAACAACAGCCCCCCCACCTCCCTCCGAAAACAAAACAAAACAAAACAAAACAAAAACAAAAACAAAAAGCAGCTTCTTTCTTGGAGCGAACGCAGCCCCTGCTGGGGTAGGTGCCTGGGCCAGGATCACTGGGATTGGATTTTGGTGACACCTGTACCTGGTGACCTGTTAGCAGTTCCATTTATTGAACTCTGGCCTGTGTTAAGATCACTTAACCCTGATACCATGGAGGTAGGATCCATGAGCATTCGCATTACATGGATGAGGACCAAAAGTGGTGGGGGTGAGATTAGAACTTGTATCTCAAACCATGGCTGGGAAAACAGAGTGTGCAGCCACAGCAGACGGCCATGCTGCCCAGCCCCTGCCACTCCAAGTCCTCCAGTTGTCCAGCTTGCCTCCACCTTCTGATTGGAGAAGAGGCAACTCCTTCCCTGGGAGGGGCATGGTCTTTGGCCAAAGGGGCTCCATGCAGGCAGGACTTCTAGAGCCAGGTGCTTTCTGTAATGACCACCTCTTGCTGGTTGCCCCTCGCTTTTACTGATCTAGAACAATCCAGAGAAAATGGAGATACATGACAAAATGGCTACATAATTGGGGGCTTGGAGGCAGAGCTGGGGTCAAGTCTCTGGGAGGGTAAGCTCTGTGGTTTCAGGGTTTATTCTTCTCTGTGTACTCAAAGCATGGACACCCTCACCCAGGGCCGTAACAGCCGCATGTGCAGAGCACCTGCCGTCGGCCCGGCATCGTTCTAAGAACTTGGATCTAATTCACTTAAGCCTGAGAACTACTCTGAAGTGGGTTTTTTGTTTTTGTTTTTTAAACATCCATTTTACTAATGGGGGTGCTGCAGTCTTCAGAGATCTGTTCCCTTATTTCTGTTCTCTCAAAGAATGTGTGGGGGTAGCATGATGTGTTCTTTGAGGGTTTGACAGCACTTAGCTGCTTAGCTGTCTGGGTCTGGAACTCTTTGTGGAAAGATTTAACTAGGACGCTGAGGCTGTTCATATCTTCTTGTGTCAGTTTTGGTAAGCAATTAAGGAACTCGCCCAAACAGGTGAGGAATTTCGAGCCTGTGCCCTCAACCATTCAACTTTCTTGTTCAAAATGCAATCACTCTCTGCCTATGAGACCTTGGATAAAGCGTTTCATCTCTCTAAGCCTCAGTTCTTCTCATAATTGGGGGTAGCAACAGCACCTTCATGGCGGGTTGTTGTAAGGATTAAATTATTTCAGAAACATGAGCTCAGTCCCTTCTGTGCCTCTGCCTGGGCAGCTCCAACTGTCTTCATTATGGCCTGGGGGAAGCCCAGCCCCACTCCCAGGTGGCCACAGGTCACTCACTGGCTCTCCAGGTCCTGGATGGTGTCCGGCAGTGACAATCCCTTGGTCTCCGGGAGGAAGAGCAGGACAGCCAGGCTGGAAACCATGGGGATGATACCATAGGAGAGGGGAGGCAGCAGGGGCATGGCCTGGCGGGTCATCCTGAGCAGCGGGCCCATCATAGCCCCCAGCCGGCCCACTGAGGTCAGGAAGCCATTTGCCATCAGCCTGTGGTTACGGGGGGGAGACAAACTCACGTCATGGCTGCCACTGCGGTGGGAGGACTGTTGGCTGGGCCAGGGGATAACAGGGAAGGGAGAGCTAGGCCAAGGGAGTCTTCTTCAAGGCCTTTTCTAATGCCATCTCTTCCAAGGAGCTCACCCAGATTTCCCCTAGTTTTTCCAGGGAACTCTTAAGAGCCTACCACATTCTCCCAGCTTTTAGGTTATCGAGGGGCTTCCTGATGGTCCCGCTAGACATTAACCAGCCAGTTGGGGCTTTCCATATGATATCCACAAAATCAATAAATGGTTGTCAAGAAAGGAATGAATACAAGAACAGACAAACGAGTGGGTGAGTTCCGCGAGTGGTAGAGAGAAGTCTGAAGAGTTGGAGTCCAGTCCCATTCTTCTGCTGAGTCTGTCCTTCATCCCAAGCCTCAGTTTACCCATCTGTCAAGTGTGGGGACAGTCTAGACCCTAGGCCACTGTTTTCACTGTGTCCCTTGAAGCCCTGTGGTTCTGAGGAGGTGACTGAGGGCTCATCTGGGACAGGAAAGGAGCAGCTGGGAGTCACCAGGGCGGCCCTCAGTCTTCTTGGGGTGCTTGGAACCCGCACAGATGGTTCTGTGACTCACAACTGGTCTCAACGCTCCCAAGGGCCTGCCTGTGCTGCTGTTTTCCGAGTGGAGGCCCTCACAGGGAGGGCTCTTCTAAGAGGCCCTTGGATGCCTCCCAGGGTGTCCCTTTCGTCCCCTACCCCAAGGCCTGTCGGTCCCTCCCAGACACGGCCCGCAGTCCAGCCTACCGCAGTGACGTTGGGAAGAGCTCAGCCATGTAGAGGGTTATGCACGTTAAGTTTATCCCAAAACATCCCCTGCCCAGCACAGCGAAGGCCACACGCAGGGTCTGTAAATCTGGGCAGAGGATGGGGGTGAGAGTCGGGCACCTGAGAGGGTCCCTGGGGCTTGCCATGGCCTGCAGTGGAGGGCCCCAGCAGCGCCGACTCGGGGTCAGGAGGGGGTGGGGCGAAAGGCAGACACCCAGTGGGTCTGGGATGGAGGGCAGCCAAGGGGGCGCTGGAGAGCTGCCCCTGCTGCTCTTGGAGTCCTGAGGGGCTTCTCACTATGAAGGAGAAGGCCTGCCATGCCAGGCTCACAGCAGGGCCCTGGGGTGCCCAGGCCCCAAGAGCCTTCTCCCTGCCCCCTGCCAGTCTATAGGAACCAATGGGTGGATGGCAGGATGCCCAGGTCCAGGTCACTCTGGCCATGGCTGGGCCCAGGCTTCCCCACCTCCCGTGTGGTTCAGAGAGTGTCATAAACCCTGAATGCGGCTGCCATGGACAGGCTTCTTTGAGAAAGCTCTCCAAGCTTCAAGCCCTGCAGAGTGCTCGGGGTCTGGGCTCACCTACGGCCTGCAGGGCCCAAGGTGGCTGGCTGCAGGGCTTGCTCTGCCTGTCTCCTGCCTTTGCTGCCACCTCAGCACAGATCCGTGTCCCTGTCCCACCCCCTAGGATCCCTCCCTGAGTGATAAAAGAGGCATGGAGAGAGTTTCCAGGTATTCCAGCCTCATCAGAAAGGAAAAACGAAGGCAAGGCTCCTGGCAGGCTCCCGAGCTCTGCACAGTGACTCTTGCTGCGTGAGCAAAACACACACTCACGGGGACCAGCAGGTGGCGTGGCAGTTAAGGCACTGGGCACTCTCGCATGGCTGACCACAGTTTGAGTCTCGACCTGGTGGCTTGCTTTCTCACTTTCTCTCTCTTTCTTTCTCTCTCTGTGACTCTCTCTGGTCAAATTAAAATAAATGAATGAGTAAATAAAATTAAAATGAAGTAATTCTAATGAAAAAAGAGGGAAACACACACATGTGCACATTCACATGCTCCATGCTGCTTGGGGCCCTCAGTCTCAGCTGAGCAGAGGCCTCCTTCGGCCTCCACTGCTCCAAGTGCCAACCTATAGGTCTGGCCCAAGCTTACTTACTAACTGAGTGATTCTGGGCACCTGGCTTTTCTGAACCTTGATTTCCTCAAAGGAAAATGGCCAGGGGCTGGCTGGGGGAGACTAGGTTCCTGACACAATGGGGCGAAGGCATGTCGTAGCAATTACAGCCCTGAGCTGAGCCGAGGCCCGGTCACCAACAACGCGCCTCTGGGCAGAGGGGTGGGGTGGGGAGGAGGCCTGATGGGGGAATGCGAGTGGCGAGTGGCGAGCAGGGATGCAAGTGGCCTGGTAGTCACAGCACAGCCTGCCCTGGCTCACCTTGTGGCACCAACAAGTTGGCCAGGATGCAGCAGCCAGCGAGGGCCTGGAAGCCGGCCATAGTCAGGCGGCGGCCCATGAACCTGAACACGAGAGAGGTGGCGGCCCGACTCAGTAAGTCTATAGCTCCGAAAAGGGCCTGGAGGAGGAAGATGTCCCTCCCCAGGCTCTGCAGGTCCAGGACCATCCCGTAGTAGGAGATCATTAGGGAGAAGCTGTGGACGAAGTAGAAGTCAGTCCCTGTCTGCAGAGGAGCGGGTGCCCCCCTGCGTCCCCTCACCCCAGTGCTGTGCTGACTGGGGCATCTGAACACCCCTAGCCAAGCCCTGAGAAGCCTGTTAAATGCAGGGTCAGGCTCAGTCCAGGACAGGGCAGGGAGGGCTGTGAGTTAGGGGTAGGGATGGGCTAAGGCCTGGCCTCCTGGGGTCTCTGGTCACTGAGTAGCCCAAAGACTTGGCCCTTTCTGGGCCAGAATCAAGCCCACCCTCAGGGGTCTTGGGGTCCAGCTGAGCTGCCCCTACAGTTCTGGTTCCAGCCTCCCCATGAGGAGTCTCGATCTGCAGCTCTCTGGATCCCGGGTTCTTGCTTTGAAAGATGGGAATTGTAACAGGACAGGATCTCTCTGGGGTGTGTGTATGGGGGTCACTAGACTGCCCTACCCAGACACCATTCAGGATAGAAAATCTATTCCCCAGCCCCAGGGGTGCTGACCCTCAACTGACATGGCATCCCACAGCTGGTCCTCAGGGACTGGGGGACTGCTCTCGAGCTCCTGCGGCCTCAGCTGGGGCCTGGCCTGGCTGTGACTGCCTCGCAGCTCCCTCTTCTTCCCCTTCCCTTCCCTCCCTGTCCCTTCCCCTCGGAGGGTGCTTCCAGGGGGACCCTGTCTCACCACCATCCGAGTAGCTGAACTTCCAGTATTTGAATTTCCAGTGTGGAGAGGGACTGTGGGTCCATACAGCTGCCCCCAGTGTGAGATCCTTCTCGACCCCTTTTTAAATCTGCCCTCATCTCAGCTTAAGGGAGCCCTCATCTCAGCCCTTCCCTTCAACAGTGCCTGATGGCTGCACCCCACCAGCCACAGGGGCCGAGCCCTCGGAGGGAAATCGCAGTTTCTGCAGAAAGCGCAGCGTTTTGTGAAGTCTGTGTGAGTGACGCGGAGACAGGCGTGGCGGCTGCTCCACGGGCTGACTCACAAGGATCTGGAGGCTTGGGCGGGCATTAACTGGGTTAACAGTCGAAGACAAGAAAACCCACAAGGTTAGTTCTTCAAAGTCTCTGCTTTGAATAACAAAGGATGCAGAGCAACCCTTGGGAGAACCGAGGAAGCCTTGAAGGTTCTCGAAAAAAATAGCCTTGGACTGTTGGACTCCTAATTTATCAGGGAAAAAATGAAGACAAAAAAGAAAAGCATTTGATGGCATTCTTCGTTCTAAGATACAGCCAATACTAGCCACTGTCACCCGCAGGTGGTTAAAATAGCATAAAATAAACGCTTTCGCAACCTTTGGTTTTAGTTCAAGACAGTCCCGATCAAGCTTGATGCTCGTAAATATGCCCTTTTGCACGTCTTTTCAACTGAACTTGTTCTAAGGGGCCTCTTCCTGGTCCCAGGCACCCTTGAGTGTCAAGGCATGGCCTCCTGGGGTGGGCCGGGGAGTCTGTGGCTCGGTGTGGGGCCTGGTGAGTGACCCAGCCAACGAGCCTGGGGGCAGCTCAGCCCGGGTTGCGTCACCTCTAAGCTGCTCAGCGCTCTGGGCTCCGCTCTCCCGCCTGTGGAGTGGGCTGCTATGAGGGGTGAGTGCCCAGCGTGTGGTCACCTGCTGGGGGTATGGCTGTTAGGATAAATCTCCCAAGCTGCCATGGCTAGTCCCCTGGCCCAAGGGACTCAGGCCCTGCCCTGTCCTGGGCGTCAGTTGGATGCTGGTACCTTGTCTGGGACCCGCCATCCTAGCGCTGTCCCGCACTTGCCGTCTCCAGGTATCTTCAGTACACACACAACCCACCCCCTTTCCCCCCCCTGCCGGGCGCCTACCCCGAGGGGGTTCCTGCTTCCAGTGTCCCAGGTAGAAATACACCGGGAGACCTGCAGGCACCCCCACCCACCTCCCCGGTCCCCGCCCCATCCTACTGCACCACCACCAAGACCGAGGTCCTCCTCCGCAGCACCGGCAGGCGGAACAGCTCCCACACCGACTGCTGAGCCTTCGAGGAGGCCACCTCCTCCTCCATGCAGGTCGTCAGCACCTCCGGGGAGAGCAGGGCACCGTGAATGTTGGGGTGATGGCTCTGCCCAACCACCAGGCCAGGGAAAAGTATCCAGGTGGCAGAATACTAGGGGCATCAGGCCAGGGCCTTGGCCTCTGGAAACTGGAGCCCTAGGGGTTGGGGAGCTGCCCGCCCACCCGACTCTCCTGCAGGCCTGGCCCACCTACTCTGAGCTGAGGAGTGGGGTCTTCAGTCCCACCTCCGGCCTCTGAGCTGCAGGGTGCAGGCTGCCCTTGGCAGGGATCTCAGGATCCCTCATCCCTCATGGCAGGCCCAAGGGTAGGCCCTCTCTAGCCAAGCATTCCTCACTGTTCCCCAAGTGCCCACCTAGTCCTGCACCTCTTACCTACTTGTGCTCAGTTCGGTCCTATTAGCTCTAGCTTGCCTCCTCCTGGAAGCCTTCCCCGATACTCCCGCCCCAAAGTAGCTCTTTGTCCTTTAGTATTTGGCAGTATACCCTCCTGGAAACGCTACCTTTAAACAAACACGTATTGTTTCCCCAAATACATTGAGAAACCCCATGAAGTGGGTTCAATATATGTGGGCCGAGGCGGGGGTAGCGGAGGTGACGGTGTGGGTGTTGACAGTGCTGGCATTGCTACTGGTGGAAGGGACAGTGACAGCGGTGGTGTTTGGTGGAGAGGCTGACAGTGACGTTAGTGAGGCGATGGCGGTGATGATGGCATTGAATGTGACAGGGCGGGGATGGTGAGGCAGACGTGAGCAGGCACACAGCCGCCGTGCCGCTGATGATGGGACGGGGACGGCACTGCTGTCATTGGTGGCAGCAGTGGCCTCCGTGTGGAGGAGGTGATGCTGGGGTTTGGTAGAGACGCTGACGGGGAGCCGTGGCCATGCTGGTGGAGGTGCTGGTGGGGCGGACGGTGCTGACGTTGGTGACAGTACCGATAACATGGCAGTGGAGGTCCCGTCCTGGGCCAGCCCTCACACTCTGGGTCACACGGCAGTGCCTCACCTCTATGGTCAGTGTCTTTTTGGCTTCCTTGTGGCCGTTGATCCTGGCCACCTTTTGGAGCTCCAGAAGTGCTTGGTCTGGTTTGCCCATGATAATCAGCCAGCGGGCGGATTCTGCCATCCACCTGTCAAAGAGCAGGTGCTTGGTTGGGTCCTTGTCCTCGCACACACCGAGCACTCACCCCGTCAGATGGGAAGGCGTGGTGGGCAGCAGACCCTCCCACCGTGGTAGGACCCAGGAGGAAGCAGGTGCTCCTACCCTCGGTGCCACTAACGCCAGACTGGGACACCGCAGTCCCTGACGGTTTCAGAATAAAGCCCAGTCCTGACACCTGGCCGGCGTCTTCCCCTCGCTATCCCTATCTAGCTCCCCTGGCTGCCAAGGCCTGCCCGCCTGAGCCCAGGGGCAGGGTCCCTGGGCACGGGCTGTCCCTCAAGCTGGTTGTTTCTCTGGCGATTCTGCAACCATTGCTATAATTACATTGTACCGAATTTATTTGTTTCGTTTTGCTTTTTGCACATTTAAGACATCCTCCAGGCCAGGTAATTTTACAAAAATGTCCGTTTCTTCTCCACCTTAGGGGCAGATGGGCCGGGAGGAGCCTCCCTCTGATGAAAGGCACAGATTTTGCCCAGCCCATGTGGGCTCAGCCCTGTGTGTAGCAAAGCTAAAAGAACTTCCCAAGGAAGTTTGACACCATGTTTAAAAGAGTCAGCCTGCCTGAGTTCAAACCCTGCCTCCAGCACTCACCAGCTATGGGACCTTACGCAAGTGACTTAACCTCTCTGGGCTTCCATTCATCTGAAAATGGCAGCAATAACATAGCTACCATTTAGAAGATGTGTTAACAGAGCTGGTGTTACAAATACACCTGGTACGCACCAGTGTGACCAGAGTGTCCTAACGAGTGTAATTATGGGATGGCTTCCTCCTTGCTTCTTGATTCTGTTCGAACATCATGGACTCCATGCTGTCAGTGGCTTTTTGTTCACTGGCGTGCATCTCTAATGCCCAAAGCCATGTCTGGCACGGGGCAGGAGCACAGTAAATATTTGAGAACGAATGAGTCCTTACTCTTTCTTTTTTGGAGGTTTTTGCTACAGGGAGCGTGCGCTTGCCAGAAAGACAGAGACAGAGAGACAGAGACAGAAAGCGAGAAATCACTCCCCAGAGGGGCTGGCCACGCCGCAATCCCTTCTCCTCCATTCTCCTCTCGGGATCTTGAGCACGCACACACACGTGCCCAGTGGGAATTTAAGCTGCAGGGTCCTGGACTCGAACCACAGTTGACTACATGGGAATCCAGTGACATAGCCATTATGCTAACTGCTGGTCCCATGTGAGTCTTTATAATTCTGTACACCCCCACGTAGACGTCTCTGGGGCCAGGTCTGCATGGCTTTGGGCCATGGCACAAGAGAGCTTCAGGGACATTCATTTGCATCTGTTTTCCTGCACCTCTCCCCCAGCACGAGAAATAATAGTGACAGTGACGTATTTCCCTGCCCAGTGTGGGTCCTCATGAACTTGGACATCCACGGGCCAGGCGCCTGCAGTGCGGAGTGAGGCTGGTGGGTGGGGGGAGTGCTGCAATGTGAGAGAGGGGCCGTGCCATAGCCTCGCCCAGCGCACGGCGCAGTGGGTGCGTGGGGGCCTGGAGAGCAGGTGTTGGCTCAGTGCCTGTGGATCTTCTCATTTCCCAGGAGAAAGTAGAAGTACTACTGTTTTTTTTTCTGTAATATTTTATAATATTTACAAGCAAATAGTGTTTGTTTTAAAATATCTTTTTTTTTTTTTTCAGTTTTACAGCGTGCACACTTGCCAGAGAGGAAAAGCAACAAAGTATCTCCCGATACTTTGTCACAGTCCCTTCTCCTCCATCTCACCCTCTTTTCCAGATGTTGGGGACACATGCACAGATGCCTGGGGCGTTTCTCAGACCGCCGGGTCCGGGACTGTGCGGGCAGCCACACGGGATCTAGCTCACTTAACAGCTGAACAACGAGGCCACAGGCTGGGCCTATCTCCCGACTTTAAGTATAAGAAATTGGGACCAGCAGATGGCCTAATGGTTACATCACTGGACTCCTATGTAATTGACTGCGGCTCAAGTCCCGGGCCCAGTGACTTAAAACTCACTCCAGGCATATGTGCGTGTGTACCCAAGATCCTGAGAAAAGAATGGAGGAGAAGGGGTTGCCATGAGGCCTTCCCTCTGGGGAGTGATTTCTCTCTTTTTATCTCTCTATCTCTCTCTGTCTTTCTAGTGAGCGTACACACCCTTTACCAAAAAAACTCTCTTAAAAATAAATAAAGGGAACTAATTATAAATATATGTATTTTTTTTGAGAGGTTTTTGCTATAGGGTGCGTGTGCTCACCAGACAGACAGAGAGAGACAGAGAGATAGAAAGCGAGAAATCACCCCCAAGGGGGATGGCCACACCGCAATCCCTTCTCCTCCATTCTCCTCTCGGGATCTTGGGCACGCACGCATACGCGCCCGGCGTGAGTTTTAAGCCACGGGGTCTGGGATGCGAACCGCGGTCGACTACATGGGAGTCCAGCGACATAGCCATTACGCTAACTGCTGGTCCTAATATATGTATTTTTAATCACGATTTGAGCCAATGCTATGCTGACCAAATAATGCCTAGCAGGTTGGATGGACGGGAGCCAAGACCTGTCCCCTGGAGCTCTGCGTCTAGAGAGTCTCTCCTCAGAGGCCAGCAAGTAGCATGGTGGTTGAGGTGCTGGACTACTGCATGGTACACCATGGTTCAAGTCCCATACCTGGCAACCTGCTTTCTCACCGCCCCATCCCCCGCATCTCTCTCTCTGGTCAGATTTTAAAATAATAATAAATAAAATTGGGACCAGCAGGTGGTGTGGTGGTTAAAGGCATTGGACTCCACATGGCCAATTGCAGTTCAAGGCCCGGATGTGGAGGCTTGCTTTCTCACTTTCCCTCTCTCTCACTCTGTCCCTCTCTGGTCAAATTAAAATAAATAAATGAATAAATAAATAAAGTCAAATAAAATAATTCTTAAAAAATAATAATAAATACACATTTTTTAAAAGCCCCTTTCCAGTGAGGACCTTGCTCACCCCACTGCCCTCCCGTGGAACCCCATGTGTTGGGACGGTGGCCAGCCAGGGTGGTGGGAGAGAGGGGAACCCTCCCACCCTGGATCTCCCCAGGGAAAACGCCCCACAGCACACTGACCAGAATATCAGGAAGAAGACAAAGAAGGGCACGGACACGGCCAGCTGGAGGGCTCGCCAGTCACGCAGGACGAAGGCCAGGCCGGCCAGGACCAGCTGGCCAGTGCCGAAAATACACCCCAGGATCGTCATGGCGACAGTCCTCCTGCGGGTTGCGATCCACTCCATTACTGAAAAGTGAGTGGACATGCACGGATGAGGGCCACATGCAGTGGCCTTGGGCCCCACCCTCTCTCGTCCCCAGCACAGCAGGCTGATGAGGCACTCACCCAGGGTTACTGAAGCCATGATGAAACCAGCTAGTCCAAAAGCACTTGCAAACCGGAGGCCACAGTAGATGACAAAATTCGGGGCAAAGATAGTGACTGTGCCGGACACGGCCACCTGTAGGAGGCTCCAGATCACCATCGGCCTCCGCCCAAACCTGTGGCGAGAGGCAAGCTTAGCAGGGCCTGGAGGGAGGCCCAGGGCTCCACACTGATGTGCTGGCCAGCTTGAGCTTGGTGGGGCGGGTGCTCAACAAGACCGGAGTCCTACTGCAGGCAGCTCCGCAAAGGATGTGCTTCTAGGAGTGTTTTTGTTATAAAAACAGCAGGTGCCTTGCTGTCAGGGAGTCAGTATAGCCTCACAGTCAAGAGCATGGGCTTTGCTCTCCGAGGTCTGGGTTCGAGTCCCAGCTCAGCCTTCCTGGCTTTTCTTGGGCATATGACTGGATGTCTCCAAGCCACAGTTTCCCTGTCTATAAGGCATGCCTCATGGGGTTGTTGTGAAAATCTCTGAGCAATGGAGCAACCTAACAAGGAGGCCATGTGCGTGTGACCTCTGCAAGCCAGCCTGCTCCTCACCAGGGTGGCCACGGCAGTGTCCACAAAAGGCAGCAGAGCACCCTGCCGTGCCCACGCCTGCACCACGCCCCTGCGTCCTCCAGGCTGGCTCAGAGCAACCAAGGTGCCTGCTGGTCAGGCAGGGGTGGGGCAGACTCAGCCTTGCATGTCTGAGCAGGCGGCAGGAGTGAGGACACCCAGCTCAGGCCTCAAATGAAGTCAGGAGTCTGCGCAGGGCGCCCTGACTCTGAGCTTTGGCCATGGTAAGTTAAGGTGCCCCTAGACTCCCGACCTGCAGAACAAATGCAAATTGGCTTTCTGCGTGGATGGTCCCGAGGCCCAGTAATCAGGGCACAGAAGCAGCTGGCCCCGGAGGGTGCAAACTGCTGCTCGGTCACCGCGCTCAGTGGGGATGACGACCGCCAGAGCATGCGCTAACGACACGCCAGAGCCTGGGCCACACTCTGCCTCGCTTACCTCGCAACTGCTGCAGCGCAAAAGGAAACTGAGGCACAGAGAAGGGAAGAAACCCCCTTCTAGGGTGCTAGGCACAGTCAGACTGGACTCAGGTGGTGACCATGTGGTGACCATGGACAGTCAGGAAGCTGCTCCTCAATCAGGAAGAAAAGGCTGAGCCTCTGCTGCGCGCTGAGTGCAGTGCTCGGCTCTGGGCACTCAGTCCCCACCTCCCAGGTAACCGTGGAACGCACATCCCAGGGACACGGACGATGACCAAGGAGCAGATAAGCCTGCCACTGCTGTCAGAGTGCGCCCCGAGTGAAGGAAGGAAGGCGGGCCACGGCCACTGCCCAAACCCCGAGCAGTGCATGGAGTGAGGCCCACGTGCTGGACACAAAGCAGCTGCCAGCAGAACCTTCTGGATGGGGCCCGGCCACACGCCAGGAGGAGCCCAGAGCAGGCAGGGAAGGGAGTCCTGAGGCCTTAGTCACTGAGCACAGCAGCAGATCAGGTGGCCCCCGTGAAGGAGCCCTGCAAGGAGGCCTCAGCCTGCCCAGGCGAGAGGAACAGTGTGGAGGAGACAGTGAGCTGGTCGCATGAGGCTTGGATGTGGGGCTGAGAGGAGAGAAGGGGGTGCCCCCTCTCCTTGGGTGCATGTACTGCCAAGGGGCAGGGGCTATTTTCTGGAACAAAGCCTGGTGGGGAGGGGTCAGCAGCCGAGCTTTGGCCGTGTAAGTTGAGGTGCCCCTAGACTCCGAGGTACAGGTGCTGGGTAGGCAGGTGGGCTTACAGTCGTGGGGAGGATTTAGGGGTTCTCAGCACTGGGGAGGGATGCCTCACGTAAGAGAAGGGTGCAGGTGGAGAGGAGGAGGTGACGGCTGCAGGAGGGGTGCAGAGATGGGGGGCACCAGGGAGGTGGAAGGAAAACTCGGAGTGTGGATGTTCTAGAAGCCGAAAGACAACGTGAGTGGAGTTTTCTTCCCAGCAGCAGGGCTGGTGGCCAGGATGGAGACGTTTCTGACCCATCCGGCTGTCCCTCTCCCCTCCCCTCCTGTTCCTGGCAGCCTCCTCTGGAGTGAGGAACCCTCACTTACTCATCTGCATCCAGGTGGTCTGAGCCCCTTTGGCTCTGAGCTCCAGGGGAGCAGGGGCATGGCTCCCACACTCCCCACTGCCCCTTCCCCTCTTCTCGGCTGTGGACAGAGGCATGTCCCCTGACCCTGGCTTGCCCCACATGAGGCTTCCAGGGAAGGCCTTGGGATTGGGGGACAAAGGGGCAGAAGAGTCTCAAGGTTGGAAGGGGGAATGGGAGATGACTGGGGGTGGTTTCACCTCAAGGGGGACCAGGCCAGGGGCTGGGTAGGGCTTGGCTGGTGGGATGTCCAGGGGAGAGGCAGGAGAGAGAGGGAAGCCTGTGGGAGGACGACCCTAAGCAGCCACCAGGGACTAGGGTCCGCCTGCAGCAGGTCTCAGCTCTCCCACCCCAGCGCAGAGAAGGGACCCCACTCAGTGGCTTCGGCTTTCTCAGGGCATGTGAGACGAGGCCGTCAGCTCAGAGTGACGGGCCACAGGGCGGGGGCATCTTTAGAGAGAGCTCTGTCCACCTTCCAGGTCTGCATGCTGTGGTTGGTCCCCTGACGTCCTAGACAGCTCGGCACACGCTGGGCACCCCCAGCCCTCCCTCTCTCTGCATAGCCCCTCCCCACTGCCCTTTAGGGGCCTGGCCCGTCCCTGCTCTGTTGCCCTGGTGTCTCTATCTCACAGCTCATCACAGCTGGAGTTTAAAGAGGGCCTGCGTCTCCCCAGGGACAGTCACCTCCCAGGGGCTGCACAGCTGCGGGGACAGCAGGGCCCCTCCCAGCTCAGGGCAGTAACTGAGGACCTCACAGTCAGCTTCTCACACAGGCCGACTCGGCACCCAGTGCAGACACCGGGGTCTTGGGAGTCGTTGTCACCGGGGGCCCAATGGCACGGGGCCAGACGGAGCCCCTCTGTGAAGGCACACTGGTGCCCTCTGACACTCCCGTACTCTTGTCCCCACAACCTGCAGCTCTGAGCTGAGAGCAAGGGGGACGAGGCACTCACCGGTTGGAGAGGAGGCCCCAGATGAAGGTCCCCACCAGGCCGCCGGACATGAAGATGGACTGGGCCAAGGGCTTCAGGCCCTGGGAGTCGCACACCAGGTCCCACTGGAAAGGGAGCGCCAGAGAGGCCCGGCTCAGAGACGTGCTGGGACGTGGACCAGCGGGGCTGGGTGGAGGCCTGCCAGCTCCATCCACTCTCCAGTCTCCATTTCAGCCTCTCTCAGCTGGGCACTGCAGGAGCCTCCAGCGGGTCCCCTCCCTGCAGGGCTTCTCCTGCAAAGTGACTTTTTGGTTTTTTTGGAGAAGTTCTATTTGCTATAGGGTGCATGCGTTCCCCAGACAGACAGAGAGCAGAGAGACAGAGAGACAGAGAGACAGAAAGCAAGAAATCCCCCCCCACGGGGAATCCTCACCGCAATCCCTTCTCCTCCATTCTCTTGGGATCTTGGGCATGCACACACATACACCCAGCATGAGTTTTAAGCCACCAGGTCCAGGACTCGAACCGTAGTTGACTACATGGGAGTCCAGCGACATAGCCATTACGCTAACTGCTGGTCCCCAAAATGACTTCTTAAGAATGCAGACCAGACCACATCATTTTGCTACTCCAACTCTGCCATTGACTATGAGCTCCTCTGTCCGTAAAAGAAAATCCCGGCTCCACGCCACAGCCCTCTGCTCTCAGTTTGGTCCCAGCTCCTTCAGGTCCCTCAGCACGTGTGTCCAGGCACCCCAGGCCTCGCTCTGCTCCTTCGAACCCCAGATGTGCTCCCACTCAGGACCTTTGTCCCGGCTGAGCTCTCTTGACCTTCACACCACTGATTCTGTTAAAAAATGCATGTATGTATGTATGTATGTATGTATGTATGTCATAGGGCATGTGTGCTCCCCAGAGAGAGACAGAGAGGGAAAATGAGAAATCACCCCCCAGGGGGAATAGCCATGCCCCAATCCCTTCTCCTCCCTTCTCCTCCATTCCCTTCCTGGGATTTTGGGCACACGGGCGCATGCGCCCAGCATGGTTTTCAAGCTGCCAGGTCCAGAACCTGAGCCGTGGTCAACCACGTGAGAGTCCAGTGCATTAACCACCACGCCACCTGCCGGCTCCACGCAGCTCTCATTCTTCATCTCATCTTCAGTGTCACCTTTTCGGGGATGCCTTCCCTGCCACGCTGAGTGACTGTCCCTTCCCTGTGTGCAGGGCTTCTTCGGCTTTCTCAGGGCATGTGAGACGAGGCCGTCAGCTCAGAGTGACGGGCCACAGGGCGGGGGCATCTTTAGAGAGAGCTCTGTCCACCTTCCAGGTCTGCATGCTGTGGTTGGTCCCCTGACGTCCTAGACAGCTCGGCACACGCTGGGCACCCCCAGCCCTCCCTCTCTCTGCATAGCCCCTCCCCACTGCCCTTTAGGGGCCTGGCCCGTCCCTGCTCTGTTGCCCTGGTGTCTCTATCTCACAGCTCATCACAGCTGGAGTTTAAAGAGGGCCTGCGTCTCCCCAGGGACAGTCACCTCCCAGGGGCTGCACAGCTGCGGGGACAGCAGGGCCCCTCCCAGCTCAGGGCAGTAACTGAGGACCTCACAGTCAGCTTCTCACACAGGCCGACTCGGCACCCAGTGCAGACACCGGGGTCTTGGGAGTCGTTGTCACCGGGGGCCCAATGGCACGGGGCCAGACGGAGCCCCTCTGTGAAGGCACACTGGTGCCCTCTGACACTCCCGTACTCTTGTCCCCACAACCTGCAGCTCTGAGCTGAGAGCAAGGGGGACGAGGCACTCACCGGTTGGAGAGGAGGCCCCAGATGAAGGTCCCCACCAGGCCGCCGGACATGAAGATGGACTGGGCCAAGGGCTTCAGGCCCTGGGAGTCGCACACCAGGTCCCACTGGAAAGGGAGCGCCAGAGAGGCCCGGCTCAGAGACGTGCTGGGACGTGGACCAGCGGGGCTGGGTGGAGGCCTGCCAGCTCCATCCACTCTCCAGTCTCCATTTCAGCCTCTCTCAGCTGGGCACTGCAGGAGCCTCCAGCGGGTCCCCTCCCTGCAGGGCTTCTCCTGCAAAGTGACTTTTTGGTTTTTTTGGAGAAGTTCTATTTGCTATAGGGTGCATGCGTTCCCCAGACAGACAGAGAGCAGAGAGACAGAGAGACAGAGAGACAGAAAGCAAGAAATCACCCCCCACAGGGAATGGCCTCACCGCAATCCCTTCTCCTCCATTCTCTTGGGATCTTGGGCATGCACACACATACACCCAGCATGAGTTTTAAGCCACCAGGTCCAGGACTCGAACCGTAGTTGACTACATGGGAGTCCAGCGACATAGCCATTACGCTAACTGCTGGTCCCCAAAATGACTTCTTAAGAATGCAGACCAGACCACATCATTTTGCTACTCCAACTCTGCCATTGACTATGAGCTCCTCTGTCCGTAAAAGAAAATCCCGGCTCCACGCCACAGCCCTCTGCTCTCAGTTTGGTCCCAGCTCCTTCAGGTCCCTCAGCACGTGTGTCCAGGCACCCCAGGCCTCGCTCTGCTCCTTCGAACCCCAGATGTGCTCCCACTCAGGACCTTTGTCCCGGCTGAGCTCTCTTGACCTTCACACCACTGATTCTGTTAAAAAATGCATGTATGTATGTATGTATGTATGTATGTATGTCATAGGGCATGTGTGCTCCCCAGAGAGAGACAGAGAGGGAAAATGAGAAATCACCCCCCAGGGGGAATAGCCATGCCCCAATCCCTTCTCCTCCCTTCTCCTCCATTCCCTTCCTGGGATTTTGGGCACACGGGCGCATGCGCCCAGCATGGTTTTCAAGCTGCCAGGTCCAGAACCTGAGCCGTGGTCAACCACGTGAGAGTCCAGTGCATTAACCACCACGCCACCTGCCGGCTCCACGCAGCTCTCATTCTTCATCTCATCTTCAGTGTCACCTTTTCGGGGATGCCTTCCCTGCCACGCTGAGTGACTGTCCCTTCCCTGTGTGCAGGGCTTGACATGAACCTCAAGGCAGGAAAACAGAGTGACGGACACCAGGGTGCAGACTCCAGCTGCCTGGGTCAGAGTAGATTCCGGTATCCTTTGGCTGTGTGTCCTGGGCCCGTCACTTACCCTCTCTGTGCTTCTAATTTCTCCCTTATTCAACGGGAGCAGTAATAGGCTATACCCCACAAGATCATGGTGAGGCTGTGGCTTCAGGGAAAGCTTCTGGAACAATGCCTGCCACGTAATGGTGGGACGTGAGAGTGTGCTTTGACCTTACTGGTTTAAATGCCAACTGCGTGAGTTCTGTGGTAGGATGCAGGCTCCTTGAGCACCCGCTCCATCCTAGCCCTGATCCGAATCTGGAGCGTTGTAAGCTGGAGCACCATAAATATGTGTTGTTGAGTGACAGAAATTCTTTGCTTGGCTGAACTTTACTCAGGTTCCTGAACCTTCTACTAGGCCCATCTGTGCACTTGTTTGTAAAATCCAGTTTTAGCAAAGAGCCTGCTGAGTCAGTTTAGCCTGAACCTCGATACTGATCACCTCCCCGCTCCCCAAGGGGATGTCTGATCCCCCTGCCCTTCTTGACATGGGTCTCGTTAGGTCCCTCTAGCCAGGATCCCCCCACCCTGCTGTTTCCTTCCAGTGACGTCCCGTGGTGGACTCCCTGCCTACTCCTCGGCTGTAAATTCCTGCTTGCCCAGGTCGTAGTCGGAGCTGGGCTCCCAGCCCTCGCCCCCACTGTGAGACCCCATCGCAGGGGTCACCATACCTATGGTGGTGGTCCTGAACACCATCTTCCTTACGCACCATAATTCTGCCTTGCACATGGAGGCGTAGCATATTATTTACCAGCGGTGATGGAGGGCGGGGGGCGGGGGCAGGCCGTGCAGGCCGGCGCGGGGAGCCCTTACCTTGGTCACGATGGTGGAGGTGAAAGTGCCGTGGTCGTAGACCCAGCCATCCACGCATGGCTCCGTGGCCGCCTCGCTCCAGTTGGTGGCTGTGGCGTTGGGGTCCAGGAGTTGCCACTGCGGTTGGCGGAAGCGGCGACACTGGTCAGGCTCCTGGTTGGGGCCTGGAGGGATGGAGACGGCCAGGAGGGCCTTGGGGGTAAGGTTTGTGGGGACCTCAGAACTGTTGTCCAGCATGTGCACCCAGCAGCGGTGGCCTGGGATGGCAGCGGAGAAGTTCTCCAGAAGCATGTGGGCGGGTAAGAAGATGGATGGGAAGCAGATGGTGATGACATGGAGGGTCTGGAACAGGCCTGCGCCCCCGGCCTTCTCTAAGAGCTCCTCGAATGCCATGCTCGGAGGTCTCTGGCGTTCAGTGAACAGGTGAGCACCTGGACTGTGCCTGCAACCAACTGCGAATGCAAGATTTGCATCTGTCCCCTGTGACCTCTGGCCGCCTCGTGGGCAGAGGGGCTGCTGGGGAGGTGGGTTGGGGCGGAGGCAGCTGCTGTTCTGTAACCAGCTGCGTTAGTTTGAGGATGGCCTGAAATACTTCAAGGAAACTCCTCGCTGTTTTCAGGGGGGACCGCTCACACAGTCCAGCTCTGTGGAAGGGACGTCAGGAGACAAGGCTCACCCCGTCCAGGCTGCCCGGGTCTTTGGCATCTGCGCTCCCACCAAGTCAGGGCCAGGTAGAGTGGATCTGCCTTCCCAGCTCTCCAGCTGCAACACCAAGAAGGAAGAGTCAAGCAAATGGAAAAAAAAAAGATGATGATGTGTCCTGTGCTGTTACTGAGTTACAGCGCTGGAAGAAACATCAACTGGGCCGTCCTTGCTGGGCAGGTTAAAGTTTACCTCAGCGTGGGCCCCTGGGTGAGGAAGGCCGGCTCCGAGTGTCAGCACTCAGGCCCCAGCAACTCCCTGCTGGCCGGCTGATGTCATTCGTCCATCTCAAACCCTCAGCGCCTCCTCTCTGGGTCCTTTATTTTTATTTTTAAATTTTTTTAGGTGTTTGCCATAGGGTGCACTCGCCAGGGAGAGACAGAGATGGAAAGTGAGAAATCAGCCTCCGGGATGGTCTGGCCGCAATCCATGTCCTCCATTCTCCTCCTGGGATTTTGGGGGGCGGGGGGAGGCATGCATGCACACACGCTCAGCATGATTTTTGTCGCCAGGTTGGCCATGTGGGAGTCCAGTGCCTTAGCCACATGCCACCTGCTGGGAGGCCCTTTAAATCAGGAAGGCATTGGCCTAACCTTAGCCCATCCTGACCATCAGCTCGTTTCGTTGAAGCCAGATGTGAAGCATGGACAGGGCGTTTCCCAGATGGGGGGTGACAGGTGGGGTGGGGCGGATGCACAGATGGTAGGATGGCCCAGGTCCGTGCTCCTCTGCTCCTGGAGGTGCACAGCGGGCAGGCTGCACCGGGGAGACCAGCTTGTAGACACAGTATTTGGGGAGTGTCTACTTTAAGGTTCCAGCTTGCCTTTAGTGGACAGTAAGGTCCCCCAGGGTGCAAACCGTGACGGCCACTTCTCGGCATCTCTTAGAAGCGCTGTGGGCCTGGAGCTGAGCAGGCAGGCAGGCTGGGGTGCGGGCAGCCATTTCAGCTCCCGTGTTTGGTGTAAGAGTAAAGCACCCCCACACAACCAGGCCCTGCCTCTTAGTGTCGGCTGTCCCTTGCTTCTGCCACTGAGCACAGGCTGCCTGACCAACTGCACTGCCCACACCCTCTCATCTGCTCCTCCTAGTAGCCCACAGGAGAAATGGTGCCAATGTCCTCAAACAAGGAAACAGACTCAGAGAGGGGAGGCAGCTTACCCAAGGTCACACAGCAGAGCTGGGTTCAAAGCCGAGCTCTCTCTGATGGCCTTGGACAGCGCCTGGTGGCCTCCGGCACAGCAGGCTAAAGCCCAGCTCAGGCTAAACTCAGGGTTTGGGTCAGCATTTGGCCCAGCCCGAAGTCAACTCCGATGGTGTGAGAGGGAAGCGGCTGAGTCATTTCCGAGAGAAATCAGAGGAGGGCTGGGAGTGTGGGTGAGGTGTGGGTGGGCGTCTGGACCCTGAACTTCCGAGAACCTTCCCAGAGTGCCTGGGGAACTCGGCCAAGATGGCGGCCAGCCAAGAAGCTGCGAGTCAGGTTTCTAGACCTGGATTTCAAAGCCAGGGCTCCTTCCTCACTCTGCCTCTCCAGGCAAGAACTCGCTATGAATTTAAAAAGAACAGAGTGAGGTGGGGAGAACATCAGCTCAAACTAAAGCACAGGAGGCTGCAGCAGAAGGGCTCATCGGCATGGCCTCGTCCACAATGGCCCAGGTGGTACTTAATTGCGAAGAGCTGGAACCTCCCCCCGCCCCCCCCACACACACATCCTCTGGTTCACTGTTTCTGGCCTGTGAAATGAAGCGCTCTGGTGTTGGTGTTTGCAGACCGCGGCTGCATCAGGAACCACGGGAGTCCTGCTAAAATGCAGTTTCCAGGGTCCTTGCCACTGCCAGGCCTGGCCCTGGAGTTTACATTTTAAAACAAGCCGCCATGGCACTAGGTGCTGCACTGGGACACCACTTTGTTTTGGGAATGGGCTAGAGGTGTCCAGGAAGGAATTCATTTCTTTCTCTTTCCTTCTTCCATATGCTTGATAATTTTTTCTCTTCTCCCCTGCCCTTTGCCTGTCATGGGCACCCCTGGGTTTTGCTTACAGCAGAAGGTCAGATCTCCCAGATTTGCCAGAAGGCTCCCGGAATCTCCAACTGACTTTCCACTTCCAGGCCAAGGAATTTTTAATCTGTGTTTTCTGGGTTTTTTTTCTGAGGCTGCTGGGGGGCAGGGCTTTGTGCAGCCGCTTCGCCACCTGGTGGTCACATCTGGTACCGCAGCATTTCCAGAACCTGGCACATCCTTGCTCAGGTGCCCATCCCCCAAGGGTTCCCAACAGAGGTGCCAGAAAGGGACTTGGGGAGGCAGGCACCCTCAGGTGATAGTCATCAAGTCCTCCGGGGTCTCTCACTAAATTAAATTGTGTAAAGTGAACTTCTGTTACTCAGAACTAGAATTATCATTGGGCTTGACTTTCCTGGCCAAGGGCTCCCATCAATTACTCTAAAGGCCAGGCTGGTTGCCAAATGACCTTAAATGACGTTAGGCAGTTTACTTTCCTCCCCCTCCTCCTCCTCCTTCTTCTTTTAAGAGGTTTTTGCTATAGGGCGCGTGCGCTCGCTAGAAAGAGAGATAGAAAGTGAGAAATCACCCCCGAGGGAGGATGGCCACGCCGCAATCCCTTCTCCTTCATTCTCTTCTCGGAATTTTGGGCACACACGCACACGTGCCCGGTGTGAGTTTGAGCTGCTGGGTCTGGGACTCGAACCGTGGTCGGCTACATGAGAGTCCAGCGACATAGCCATTATGCTAACTGCTGATCCCTTACTTTCCTTCTATGGATTCCAGTATCTTCATTTCTAAGGCAGGACCTTCCATTTAAGGTAGCAAGATTAAATGATATAATGAATGGGCCTGGCGATAAATAATACCTATCTCATTATAATCATTTTTATCACTCTCATCATCACCATCACCATCATCACAACCATCATCATCATCACCACCATCACCATAACCATCATCACCACCATCACCACAAACATCACCATAACCACCATCACCACATCACCACCAACATCACCATAAGCATCATCACCACCATTACCACCATTTCAACCACCATCACCACCATCACCACCATCACCACCGTTATATCACCATTACCATCATCGTCACCATCATACCTGACCCTTTGTTTTTCCTTTCCCTCCTTTCCAGTTAAACTCACAGTATTTCAGACCCATCTGGGATCACTGGAGACCCTTGTTTCATTCCTTCCTGAAATCCTGAAAGAACCTGGGGTCAGCAGAAGGTGCAGATCTTTTCTAGGTTCACTCTGGTAGGGACAGGGTCTCAGATCCTACCTCTGGTTTCACTGCCTTTTTCACTGCACCCTTGTGAAGCCCAGTGGTCCATTAGAAATTCAAAGACCCCATGACCATAAAATGTCAAATTATCTTCATATTCTGGAGAATAGGCCTCACCCCACTGGGCAGGAAGTACCAATGAACCACAGCAGGGACGAAGCCAGATCTTACCTCTTCAGTTCTTTTTTTCCTCCTTGAAGGGCATAGTTTGGGGGATCCCCTGGTAAATCCACAAGATAAAATCACTTTTTTTTTTCCCATTTTGAATTCCTCTTCAAGTCACTGACTACAGCAGCTTACATCTCCCAGGCTTTAAACATTACAAAAACTCATCTTTCTAACCATCCTAACCAGCGAGGTGCCTTCTGCAGAGACGGGAGTAAGGTCAGTGTCCTTAACTCAGTTCTTCTGTCCTTCTTATTTTTTTGAGAGATATTTGTTATAGGTGTGTGAGCTTGCTGGAGAGACAGAGAGACAGAAAGTGAGAAATCACCCCCCAGGGGGATGGCCACGCTGCAATCCCTTCTCCCCCATTCTCCTCTCGGGATCTTGGGCATGCACCCACATGCGCCCGGTGTGAGTTTAAGCCACTGGGTCCGGAACTTGAACCACAGTTGACTACATGGGAGTCCAGTGACATAGCCATTATGCTAAGTGCTGGTCCCAAGACTTATTTTATTTTAAATTTTATTTATTATTATTTTTAAATTTTACCAGAGAGAGAGAGAGAGAGAGAAAGTGAGAAAGCAAGCTGCCAGATCTGGGACTCGAACTGTGGTTGGCCATGGGGAAGTCCAGCACCTTAACCACCATGCCACCTGCTGGCCCCAATTTCTAAGTTGTTGAATAGGTAGAAAAATCACATGGTTCGAAAATAGGAAAAACTACAAAAAGGTATACAGTGAAAGGCTTTCTCTCCCATCCGTCTCCCTGTACATGGCTCCCTCTTGCCACCTCCACTCCCAGGTAACCATGCTTAGGTTCTAGTGCCTCCTTTCCGATTTTCTTTCTGGAAATATATCTGTGTTCTTATTTTACTCCCTTTTACACGAAAGGTAGTTTTGCGCTTCGCGTTTCTTCCTCATGCCTGATACGGTGGATGCTTTTCCGTATGTACCCGAGAGCGTCCCCACCGCCATCCCCAGGTGGATAGTACTCTGTGTGGATTTACCGTAATTAATTTACTGATCTGTTGATGGTCACTTGGATTACATCTACTATTTTGACATCACAAAACTGCTGAAAAGAATAATTTGGCACATATATGACTGGAGTCTTAAGTGTGCTAGTCTTTTTACAGAATATAGTTCCAGAAGTGTGATTGGGTGCCCCGTGAGAGGAGAAGTCAGCTTGTGCCTTTGAGAGACAGCCTGTTGCCCTCTGCAGGGACTCCCCTTGAACCCCGCACTGGCTCCCTAACATGGTGAGCTACCGCCACCTCTGTGGGGTTTGGCCAGCGCGGCGGGGAAGCCATAGCAGGCTGGCTCTGTGGTGTAGCAGTGATGTGCTGCTCAAGAGAAACAGGATTGCACATGGCGACCGTGGTTTGAATCCTCAGCCTGGTCAGCCTGAAACATGCCAGGTCTGAGCACAGTGTCTGACAGGGATGGCCTGGAGGACAGGAAGTGCATGGCAACCAGACCCTTGAGGGTGCTCCTCTCTCTCTCTCTCTCACACACACACACACACACACACGTGCATACACTATCATAAATAAAGGAAAATAAATAATTGTATCTTGGTGTAGCTTCATCTTGA